AATTAATCCCAGGAATGCTTATTTGACTTACTATGACCCAATATGTCTTTTTTAGATACGGAGGGAAATCCTTCAAAGACTACGAGCGGTGCTCCACTTCGTTCTACTGCTGCGAAAAAAATGACCCCACTTACAACTAAAGTTGACACTTCTGAGCCTGCAAAGAGAAAATATATTATTGGTATGTGGCAAATGTATAGTTCACTTACCAAACCCAGTCCATAATCTGATCTCTTGAATATTATTTATTTTTAATATTTTGGCTTTTACAAGTACCCCCAAATTTATATATATATATATAAAAACATGACTTTGTCATTAGTCTTAAGTTAGCCATCTTCTTTGGGGGTTGATCCTCTCCAACGATCCAATGATCTAGACCAGTAATTCTCTAATGTTCTTGGAGCATGACACCATTAGTGCCTTGATACTTTTATCCTAGGCCAAAGGAAATACCAGACAATTCGATTTGTTATGTATGTGGTTTGGCCCAAAATATGTAATAGTAGTAGTTCATGGTTATCTGACATTTATTTAGTGTAGTGACATTTATTTAAAATGTTAAATATTCTGCCATATCCCTCTAAATTTGCTGTGACCTTAGGGCCTTTCTGTACACAGTTTGTGTAGCTCAAACCTAGGAATTTGTCTCCTCATTATCTAACTGCATCCAAACATACCTATTTTAGAAGAAGGTGCACAGATAAATATGTGAGTTTCATATTATTTTTGATTAACTATTCAAACATTTCTTTCCTGAATATGTGCAATTTTACCATTTATCCTTTTTATTCATGGGCCAAATCACCTTAAATAGTGTGTGTTTTTCAATGAGAGTATATAGGCCCAGGAACCGGGACAGAAGAAGTGTCAGCCGCAGGGACCCAGGTAAGGGTGGTAGGAGAGGTTTCCAACAGGGAGACAAACTTGTCTGTCGGTTTGTCCTACTGTGGTGACATGTTGACATGAGTTTTGAGGCTGAGCCACTGGTTTCCAACCCAGTGGGATGCATATTGTGCACAGGTATCAGCCCAATTTACAGACTGATAAAGACTAGGAAAAAGGAAGAAGCCGTCCACTTCTCAAAGAATTGGCCAGGGAAAACCTTACAAATAGCAAAGAAACACTGTCTGGTACATTACCATGCAACTTTATGAATAATACGGTTAGGTTAGAAGGCTCTCAAAATATAAATGGGAAGGAGCTGGATCATCAGAGTAAATCCATCCTTACTCATATGAATAAGGTAAAGCTTTCAAGACCTCCATTTGCTGATGTGGCACCACTCAAATTGAAGAGAAACAGCTGCAGACACCCATTAATCATCAGAATATGAAATGTACAAAGTATGAATCTAGGAAAAATTGGAAGTTTTCAAAAATGAAATGGAATACATAAAGATTGATATCCTCAGCATTAGTGAGCTGAAATGTACTGGTTTTGGCCATTTTGAATCAGACCACATATGATCTACAATGTCAGGAATGACACTTTGAGGAGGAACGGCGTGTCATTCATCATCACAAAGGATGTTTCAAAATCTGTCCTGAAGTACAATGCTGTCA